CGGCGGCCTCCCCCTGGGTCCCTCGCACAGAGACACCATCAACCGGAGCGGTATGATGTTGCGGAGTCCCCGGCCGGACTTCCGGCCCAGGGAGCCTTTTCTCGGCAGAGACCCGTTCCACAGTTTAAAGAGACCCAGGCCACCTTTCATTAGGGGCCCTCCGTTCTTTGCACCAAAACGCCCATTCTTCCCTCCCAGGTACTGACGGAAAGAAACCAGGGGAAAGGCATTCGGAACAGTCTAGAGAGCATTGGAAGTAGGGATTTGGTTTATTATTGTTTCTATTTGTTTCCCTCCTTTGATTTATTTTTTTATTACAACAGAGGGCCTCCCTCCCGACGTCACACATGCCTGCATTTCACTCTCCCACCCAGGCCCCCCTCCTGCTGCACTTAACTACCTTCCCACGGCCTTTGTATTTTAAGGGGGGCGGGGGGCGGGAGCAAGTAAACAAACACAACCGAAGCCACTGCCTTTGGCTGGGGAATTGAGGGGCGGGGAGGAAAACAAATCTTACTTTACCCCAACTATTGAAGAGTATTATTACATTTGAAATAAAACTTCCATCAGTACAGATAATGACATGTGCCATGTCGGGATGTTATTTTGGGCCTGGCTTCTCAGGAGTCGATGGAAGGGTTCCCATCCGGTCTCTCTCCAGCTCAGTTAACTGCTGTAACCAGCTCGGCTCCCGCCCCTGTCTGCTGTGCCCTGCTGACAGCCAAGAGGTGTTACGAGCGAGGAAATGTGGGAGACCCTGGACCTGTCGAGCTGTTTGGTTTTTAAAGGCATGTTGAAGTTGAGTTCTTTACCTTTCTCCTAAAACCTTAATGAAAAATCAGCCTCTTCCGAAGTACTATTAAGCAGGAAGTTGAGGAGATAACAAACCTTCTACCCTAGTAAAAAAAAAACTTTCCTCTTTATCTTTGGAATGAAAGAGGGGGCCGGGTCTGATTCGAGGTTAAAGTAAGGAGTAACTGCAACGGAGAGAGTTAGGGAAAGGCAGCGGTGACGGCGGCTGACCTACCCCGTCCCCCGTGACCGTTTCCGAGGTGGTTTCACGGGCCTCGCACCACGCTCTCGCTTCCTGCTCTTCTTTCTTGACTTTCTTTTTCTCCCTCAGTTTTTACTTCTGCTTTGGCCGGAAAGAAAATCACCACAGTCGACAGTTGTCAGAAAGGTGCAGCCGAAGTGTCCTCCCTGAGCTTTAACCATTTCCCGCGGCGCCTCCCTAACGGCAGTGAGACTGGTTGGTTTTCACTGCCGGGGAGCGGGGACCATTTGTCTTCACCTTTCCTTTCCCTGCCCTTGTCCTGTGTTCTCCCGTGTTCCTGGTTTTCCAGAGGACGAGGAAAAAATGATGTTAACACCTCTTCAGATGTGTCTTAGTGGCAAGGGGGTGTTACCGTCTGTACAGAGAAACAGGAGGACCCGATAAACCCAACTTTACCCCACTCGGCAGATGGCAGCTTGTCACATATCGGCGTAAGCCTCATCCCCACCTCCTGCTCCCAGCAGGAAATAAGAATATTTCTGCCCTTAGTCAATTCACGTGACAAGTTCTGTTCTCCTCCCTGAACTGAAAGGCTTATTTGTGTTTCTACAACCAGTACTGGGAAAAAGACAATCACCGCACTTCAAGTGTTTATATCTTTATATCTAGGGACACTATTTTTTAGACTTAGTGTCTTAACCCCAAGGTACACACTGGTAATCTCCAGCTAGATGAGTAAAACAATATGTGTTGAGTTTTTTAGAGACTCCTAGTAAGTTTTATATTTTCTTCCAAGTTAGTATAGAACTAACTAGGAAGTGATGGGGATTGCTTTGGATTCCTGCAGTGACATATTAAAGGTGGGCGGGAGGGGGGAGTGGGCAATGTAGTGATCGACCGATTGTGATCCTTTGTGTCAGAATAAACTTGATTTTCAGATGAAGAGCAGCTTAAACGAGATGCGCATCATAGTTGGGGCGTTCTGCGGAACGTACTCCATGTTATTTATTTGGGTTCGCCATGTGATCTGTGCTTAGGATGCTGTAAATCGTTCACCTCCCTGATGCATTTCTGGTCCTAAGCCAACTAGCTGTTCTTTTCTTTGACCCTCTCAAGCCACTCTACCCTGTAGCTCTCCCCACAAAAATGCATGATACCATGACCTTGTATGTGGGGTGGGGTATATAGTGTAGCAAAGCAAAGAAACGGTATAGTTCACATTGAGTCCTAAGACATTTGTTTAGGAGGAAGTATATGGCAGAGTAGGGTGGGCAGGGGGAGGGACAGTTCTATTTGACTCAAATAGAAGTTTTTTGGTTTTTTTTTTTTTTGCGGAAATTAGGTGGGATGTTTTTCATTCTAGAATAAAAGAATGTGAATTCTTTCTGCTGCTCTTGTTTAAGCTAAAAGTAGTGTTTACTTGAAAAAGCTCTCTGACCATTTGGTTTTATCAGAAAATGTGGGGCTGTCAGGAAAGTGGCTTCCTGAATGTTGAGGCAGGTGACTCTCCTCAAAAGTAGGATGGCTAATACGTGAAAGGAAGACTTTGTTGTACAGTTTAAAAGATGGACTTTAAGGGTTGGGTTTTGTTTTTTTTTCTTTTTGTGGGCTCTTTTGTTTTTTAATCCACAGAATCCTCAGTGCGCTTGTTTCAGGATGGAGGTGAGGATTTGTACGTGACTGTCAGCTGTTAACTTTAAGGAAACCTGTCTACAGCAGTAAATGAAGACAATGTACATATGTGATATAGTGAAACAAAAAAGACAATTCTGACGTTCATAACATAAAGCAAAGGGGTTTTATTCTTTCTGTGTCTGTGATTTAAAATTCCGTGCCCATGCTCTGACTTTTGTATTTCAACCTGAGTTTAAAAAAATAAACAAGATATTTTTTAAAGAAAGCATAACATAGTGTGTCTTGGCAAGGACATGACTCATATGAAAGCAGAATCTGTGAAGTTGTTCCTAAGGCCCTTGGTGCTCACTGTAAAATCACAGACAGAGAATTGCAGGGGGCGTGAATGCGCTGGTGCCACTTAAGACTCAGTGATACGGCGTCCGGAACAGCCCTCACGTGTTCTGTAAGTGTGTTTTCTGTCATCCGATGAAGGCTGTCCTCCCTGCTGTCCTCCCTGCTGCCCTCTGCCCTCCCACAGGTTGAGAGTGAGTAGAGTGGGGTTTGATTCCAGGGAGGGTAAAATGATCAGAGAGTAGGACTCCCACCCTTTTCGACGCCAGGAATTCGACGTTTGTGATAACATGGTACAGCGAACCTGTCTAGATAATGTGAATATGCTAAACCTCCTAATCGCAGAATCTTCACTCCCCTGAAGTTCCTGCTTCATGAAGAATTAAGCGTCAGCTGTTATTGTTTTGCAGCCGCTGTAAATTACTGCTTTTTCCCCCTTTTTCCTCCCCTCCCCCCTTTTTTGAATGGGCGGGAGTGCCTGTTATGACTGAAATTAGATATGTTGGATTGATAGTCTCACGTGTTCGGTGTGGAAAACAAAACAAGTACATGCTTTAGAGGCAACAGCAATGAAATTCCTTTGAAATGTGTATTAATATCATTTTAATAAAATAAGTAGTTCTAAAGGTTTGACATTTTTCTTTGAGATTTGGGGCTTCAACGCAGGGCCCCTGGCTCCTCTGGTGAGTGCAACTAGGAGGAAACTTCTCCAGGAGCGGAAGCCGCTGCTCTGCAGAGCAAGCCTGTGGTTGGAAAACCTAAATTTTCTCCAGCAAAGAGCCTACGTGACTGTCCAGGGCTGAAGGGGAAACCAGCTACAGAATGCAGAACGAACAGCCTGGATGTGTCTCTGAAGATATGAATGGATTGGC